ATTATTATTATTATTATTATTATTATTATTATTATTATTATTATTATCCTGATAATCATATTATTATTATGACATTATATACATAATGTCATAATGAAAGTTTTCCTTGTAATATATGCTAATCATATAATATAATATAATGTAATATAATAACATTATTATTATTAATAATATTATTATTATTATCAGTATTATTTCATAATTATCATATTATAAAAATGACATTCTATAGATAATGTTATAATTACAGTTTTTAATTTTCAACTCTGAACCCTAACCCTACGAAAATCAACAGAATAAGAGTTTGGACATTTTATTTGTTAAATTTCGAGTCATGTCAACATTCTTTACAGTCGATCATCAAATAAACAGGAGAGCTCAGAGAGGAGAGAAATGCCAGCCCACCAGCATCATACCAGTATGGTTGATATAGCCACAAGGATTTCACTCAAATTTTAGAGAACACTCCTTATTCCCACCATCAAATAAAACATAAAATAAGTCACCAACAATGTCAATAACACATAAAATATATTTTCCCCTAACATTTTTACATTCAGAATAAGTCTCTAAAACTGGCCATTGTCTCTGTAAAGCAGTTTAGATTGAATTGACAGGACATAATGTAAAATATCTCTTACATAACATACGTGTTTGGGCCCTGTGGACTGGTGACTGGTCACTGCTGACATCTGGGAGAAACTCCAGCCCCCTCCAGCCTTACAGGGAGAAAATAGAGTAGAAACAGGCTAATGTCAGCTGATTGTTTTCTTTCTGTAAACAAATGCCTGTATATGAGTTTAGTAGTGAAATATTAGTCAGTCATCAATCACTAAAACAGTCAGACAACAGCCCGGCGCCCACGCAGCTCAAGTTCAAATTTTAAACCAAAAAAACAGGACGAGGAAAAAAAGTCTATTAGTCTGTGTAGGGGGAAATCAATATAGAGATAAATATCTATCTCTTATTCTCTTAAACAGACTCAGACTTTTGCTTCAGAATTTCCACAACATCTGTTAAAGAATTCTACATGCTGAAGTAGGCTGTCAGTAAAATATTGAGGAATCTGGGTTTATTTTCAATTCATTTGATCCAATATTTCTATAGATTTACAACCTAAATTGGGCACAGCTGCTGGTTGTGGTTCTGACTCACATGATGTCACAGTGCAGCCCCGACAATATATCACCCACCCCAAAATGAAACTGAACCAAAACGAAGCTCTCACTGTCAGTAACTGGCCTGTTTGTTTCTTTGGACACATCTTTGAACTGGCTCTAGTTATAATGAACAAGTTCAAACATCAGTTCACAGAGGTTAAAAATCAACAGTTCACATTCAAAGCTCGCCGTTTCTATTTTGAACAACTTTAAAGTTAAGAAAGGAGAAATGACAGTGTTGTGTCGTGTAGATGAAATCAGTCCTACTGGACCTTAAACTACATGACTAAAATCAGACGGGTGATGCTTCAGCTCCGCCCTTCTGAAGTTAGAAGTCTCTGAGACTGTACAATCAGAATTGTTTTTGAAGCACAGGTGGTCATCATTTACCCACCGTTGGACTATTTTGCGGACAGCTTGTAAAATTAAACGAACAATCCTAAACAGACGGGCTGTTTTCAGCTTCTCGGCCTTTTGGAGCACGGCTGCTGGTCTGCAACTCAGGACGAGATGTTCCTGACACATGAGGGAGGAAGGCCGCTATTGGCTGGCCTCCGTGTTGCCAGCTTTCATCATATGGAATGCAGCAGTATCTCATTTGCATGATTCACGGTGTTGTTCAGCATGCCTGTTATTGCTGTAGAAAACTGGTCTCTGACTGGGGACTTGGTTTGGCATCCATCATTTGATAGACTCGGTGTGGTTTAATCCAGACACTCTTTGGCAGAGTGCAGGAGGAGCAACCAGGTATTTATGGAGGTGGTGAGTGACGAGCTGCAGCTGTGACCCGACCCTCACATACCAGGCGGGGGGGGGGTGTGTGGGTGGGGGGGCTACAGGAAGGAGCAGGATTGGCAAAGCCAAGGCCAGTTCCTTGACATCGTCTTTAGATGGCCGATGATTCTCCGCCCCATAACTGTATGATGAAAGTTTTACGCAATACTTTTCAGAATTGTTCCCGCTTTCTCATAGTTTCAAAATGTCCCTTTATTCAAGCCATGTCCCGATCTTCCATCGGTGCACCTGGCATTAACTGCCGTGGCATCCGGCACTGAGCCCCTGTTCTGGGTTGCTGCAGTTCAAGGCCTTCCTCCACTCCACAAACCAGTCTCAATCAAAGCTGGTTTCTTGGCGTTGAGGTCGAGGAGGGCCGAGGTGAAGAGTCTGGATCGCCTTTAGTAAGGCGACATGCATGGACTGGTGTGGGGGTGAGCTCAGCTCATCCCAGAGCTTACAGATATCTTCTTTCAGGTCAGTGGTTTGCTTCTCTGGGTTGTCCTCATCAAGAGAGGCTAAGCCAGCCATTCCAGGCCAGCCCAAACGTTAGAGTGGCTATTTGAATCACCCGGTAATGCCAGGTAAGAAGTAACGGAGGTAAAAGAACCAGGAAAAACCTGACAATGAGGAGATACTGACACAAATTACAAGAGGCACAGACGTTGAGATGGGCAATGGACAGAGGAGACACAGAAAGGGATGTGACAGACTGCGAGGATCTGGCAGGGTAGGAAAGAAATGGTTTCATGTAGGAAGAATGATTTCTGAACCCAGAACAGATGACCCAGGGACCACAGGGGATGAGAGTCCAGTCGATCGCAGAACAGGAATAAAGTGATATGGAGGAGCAGTAAGGGGAGATGCAGGAAATGAGGAAAGACACCAGAATAACACACAGGAAACTCATTTACTGGGAACACATTTCCCACAATAAAGTTTCAAGAAGAGTCCTGAGAGGGATGGAGTCCAGACTGAAGAGGGGACTCAAGAGCAGGCAGGCAAGGCTGAGCAACACAAAGGTGAGTCTGGATCTGGAGAAACTTCCGGGTTTTAAGTGACCCGAACAACAAGAGACAAGGTGACTTAAAGCTAGATGTGAAGTGTACTGATAATTCCATGAAATCAAATCCTCTGGGACATCTGTAGGAGGCTTGGGGGCACCATCACAGGTAATCATCCAGCTAGGAATGAAGGTTCTGAGCTCCTAAAATAAAAGCTCACTAATGTGATTATACGCTTCAAGTGCACGGCGAGCCTCTCAGAAACTGGACTACCATTAGTACCTGCAAACCAACCTGAGCCATATGCATGAATCCAGGACTGCCCCAGGGACACATGGCTAAATTTGAATGACAACGGTGACATGTTACCAAGACGAGACACCTAAGAAAACAGCGAAACACATGGCAGCAGGGTCATCCTACATGTGAACACACGCCGGTGTTCAATGGTCATCGATTGGGAGGACCTGCGTAATAAAGACACTGAGCCTTTGTCAGTTCTACCTCCTGCAGGGACAATGTGCTCAATCTCTGACTGCATCCTGAAGACATCCCCGGCACCCAGGACATCCCATTAGGATGCCAGCAGCAACCAGATCTCCTGAGGCATCTCAACAGCTTTGGGGCTAGCCAGCACATCCTCAGGAGCTTCTACCACTCCTTCACTCAGTCTCCTTACCTTCTCCATCTTCTCTTGGTACCACTCCATGAGTACTCCAGTACTCCTCCGGTGCCCCCCGGAGTCCAGCCTCGCACAGAGAGTCCCCTTCTCCAGCCTCCCTGACTCCGGCATCCACCAGGAAGTGGACAGCTGTCGGCCCACAGCTCTGGAAGCAGTGGAGGTCCTGAACATGGTGCTCTTTGTCTGCTCCTGAATAAAGCGTGGCTGCAGTCCCTTCTTTCATTCGTTAACCTGCGTGCTCACTTCACTGTTTAACGCTAACTTTGTGGCTGACGTGATAACAACTTCTTGTGGAATTGCTGCTGTTTGTAGTGTGTTTTTCTCCTACAAATCCTGTGAACCTAACCCACAATCTGGTTTATTTTCCCTACGTTGACGCAGCAACTGGCTACCTAGTTTTTGGCTGTTGTTTCAAGCTATCTACTTTCGTCTGTGTGACTTTTGTTTTCATTTCTGGTTTTGTTTTTTTCACAAGTGCTGGAAACTATGATGAGAACACTGGTGCTGTGGTTTTCCTTACACCAAATGAACCGTGTCTCTGAATACAGTTTTAACAGTAGAAAAAAATAGATTTAAAAGAGATATTTGATACCGGCTAACGGTTAGATTGCTCTTATTGAGAGTCACCTTAAGTCTCTGTGGTATAAAACCTATCAACAAAGACAGATACAAATTTGAATGAAGGGGACATTTTCCATAGAAGGTCTGGTTGGAATTGGGTCTGAAACAAATGTCTACAGTTCATTTGGGAGCCACGAATAAGATGCCCAGGAGGCCTCAAAGGCTGCCAGTGTACTGGAAAGCTGGGTAACCTGCGATTGATGGCAAGACAGCGTCCACTCAGATGACACCGGTGAATCTGTGAATCTGCTATAGTTTCTGGCTTCAAAA